TTCTTTCTTTCTTTCTTTCCTTTCTTTCTTTTTTTTTTTTTTTTTAGATGGGGTCTCACTCTGTCACCCAAGCTGGAATGCAGTGAGTGGCATGGTTCTCAGCTCACTGCAACCTTTGCCTCCCGGACTCAAGTGACCTCCCACCTCAGCCTCTCACTCACTTTTCTTTCTTATGGGGAAACTATATCCTTCCTGGAGCCTAAATGAGAACAACCTTGCACACAGTTACAGGCTTGCCAGCTCACCTTTCAAAATGCGTGCTGGCCGATGGACTAGAATGTTAACTAAATTATGAATGGCCTGAGGGAAAAGAAAAACTAAGAGCTGGGAAGCTGGGGGCTTCATCTACAAGACCAAACTCGAACATGAGCAAGATGGTAGGACCACCAATGACCATCCTACAAGCTGAAAATGCAAAATGCTTCCTTCCTTAACCGCCACTGGGCAGTGAAATCACATTTAGTCCCCTGAATAGATGGCACTTGTAGGTCTTTTCAAACTTGCCAAGGACTTCTTCATCTCCCGAGAGTCAGGCCAAGATCCCATAGGGAACCTCAAAGCTCTGTTCCCTACTATCTGTATTTTTGGTTTTGTTTTTAAAAATTTTTTTTAAGTTTTTATTTTTGGAGATGAGGTCTCACTATGCTGGCCAGGCAGGTCTCGAACTCCTAACCTCAAGCAATCCTCCCATCTCGGTCTCCCAAAGTGGTGGGATTACAGGCCTGAGCCAAGGTGCCCGGCCCCTAGGATCTGTTTTTAACCATCCCTGGGCTTCATTTTGGCACGGCAGTACCAAGATTGAGACAAGAAACTCTTCCCTATGCTTGTTTTCCTGCGTTCTACGTTTCTCTCGCTACTTTTTCTCCTATGGAGACCCGTTAGGACTGTAAAACAAAGGAGGCCAAGTCCAATTGAAACTGCAATTGGACTTAACTCCACCCCTGTGCCCCAAATCCTCTGCCACCAGCAACGAAGCAGTCATCAGAACTGTGGTTTTAGACAGCCCCCGGCCCCTCTCCAAGGACCAGCAAAGCTATCAGCCATCCTGTTTGGGGGACAGCTGAATGTCAGCACCGAAAGTATTGTATCATCTTCGCACCGCTGGAGTCAGGAAGCGGGCTCTCCAGAGCCTGGTGCCAGGGGCTGTCTCCTGAGTGAATAAAGAAGGAAAAAAAGTTTCCTAACATTTGGATTCAAAGTGAGAACGGTGAAAAGCACCCACCAGTGTGCGTGCAACCCCAACAAACACACACGCGCGCGCACGCACACACACACACACACACACACACACCCTGTCCATGCAGACAAAATCATGAATCATCTCCATGGCTGAACGTTTTAGCGTTCAGTAATATTCTCAGAGGCCCAAGGTTTTCAGCCAAATCCCAGGTCTGTGCACAAGGACACTGCATAAATCCCTCCCCTTATGAAAGGCCAGTGTGAGCAGATGGGACCGCTCTTAAGTAAACTGTAGGGCCCTCCCTTCATCCATCTCGGAAGGAGCAGCGGGGGGCTGGCCCTCTCAGCCCCGAGAGCAGAGAGCGGCAGAAGCTGTTAATTCTTGAGGCTAATGTTCACGTCTCCAACTTATCTCTCCGAGGGGAAGTGTCCATTTGACCACACAATCCTCCCTCCTCCCCTACCCTCCCTCAAGGGGAAATCAAATCTTGAAGTGAGACCGGAGGAGCTGCTGCGGAACAGGAGCACAGGAGAGCTGGCGGGGTAGGAGGCGGCCAGGGGCGGAAAGGCTCCTCAAACCCAGTTTCTTTCCATGCTAAGGCTGGGGAAATAACCTCATGGCAACTACACTTTCCGATAACCCGCCTCATTAATATTTATTAAACAAAAGATTGTTTTAAAGAAGAAAGGGCCAGATAATTAAACACTCAGTGGAGGTAGATGGCATCAGTTGGGCTTCCTCCACCCTGTTCTCGGGGTGGCCCCCACCCGCAGCCTAACCCGAATGTGTACCCTGTACCATCAACCTCCCCAGCCCCTGCTCATCTCCCCAGGTGCGTCAGGAAGACACAAGGCAGGTGGAAGGAGAAAGAGACAGACTCGGGCACCCCAGGTGCTCACCAGGAAATGCACGGACTGTGAAATTATACCAGGGCTGGACAACTTACCACCACACTGGAACCCTTGGGGTACTGAAATAATTAACTTGCTAATCAGCTACACCTTGCTCTTTCTTTCTTCCTGGAAAAAAACAATTGCAAATCGCCTTCCCATCAGGTTCCCATGTCAGTCATTTGGAGACCAACAATGCTTTTGAAGAAATACACTCTCTGCCACCACGTACACCACCGAAGAGGGTCATACCAAGTCAGGCCTCCTCCTCTCCAACCCTTCCCACTAGGCCCAGGGGGCACACAGAGACACAATGTTTTTGGAGATGTAGGGCTTTTTTTTTTTCCATCCACGGCACAGAGCTTTGCATCTTCACTAAGCTTTCTCGCTTTCACCCTCTTTAGCCTGCTTACTGGCACTAAACAGCAAAGATCCATGTGGAGAAAAGAGGATTGATTAGAATCGTAATGATGATCCCTGGCATTCGTCCGGTGTTAGCGTTCACAAAGTGTTTTCACACATTATCTCATTCGGCCAGAGGAGGTCGGAGCTGGAAGGGACCTCCGTAATCATTTAGCTGAATCCCCTCATATTACAGATGGGAAAACTGAGACCCGGAAAGGCTAAATGTCTTCCGCAATGGCCAGGGACAGTCAGGTCTTCACGCTCCTTGTCTAGGAATCCTGTGCTACTTCTGACCCTCTGAAAAGACGGAAAAAGCGTGGTCATGTTTTTGCTCCACAGTAGATATTAAACAAGTAGATATTAATCCAAATGAAAAGAGTAGGACATGAGAATGAATAAAAGCAACTCCTGTAAGAAATGGCTTGGGTGAGGGGGGTCGCTGGAAGTGGGGAAGACAATTAGTCTAAGTCCTGAATGGAACATATTAATTAACAAAGTTCCCCCTCTTTTTGTCCCCCTTCATCTCTCCACTTCTCTCCAGGTTTAAAAATATGAACATTATGCAGTTTGGAATCTAAGGCTTAATTCAGCTGCAGGTCCCGGGAGGAGAGGGAGTCTCTTCTTGGCCTCAGATGTGGCACCTACGCTCCCAAGGGTTGGCAGCATGACGGGCTTGTGTGTGCCTCTGTGTCCACTCAAGACATTGGATTTAGCAGTGAAAACCAGGCATCTTGATCCTTTCACAGATCAGATGATTTGCAAATTAATGGCTCTTTACCCCAAGGCTCTGAGGAGGTTAAAAAAGATTTCTGGTGAAGGAGGGTGGAAAAATGTAACATGGGGAAAGGGAAGGAAAGGAAACTGACATTGGATTTTGTGTCAGGAAAATACTTCCCTGTGAATGGCACTTGTGTGCGTGGACATGGGTCTCTGCATTTCCATGGGGCTGTCATGCCCCCCGTTGGAAGGTAAGCGGTTCCTTTGTGTGTTCGTTTATTACTAAGCCCAACTCTTTTCTCTCTAAAACTCCTTCTTCTCCCTGTTGAGCTGACCATGCTTCTGGATTTATGAAGAGAGATGTTTTAGCAGAAATCCCCCAGAGTGTCCCATCAGCCCTAAATCCCAGGCCCGCTCACCCCCCCAAGACCCCATGACACACAGCATGCCAACACGGCTTCCTCTTGCCTATGCATTAGCCATCCATTGTGGCAACCTGACATCTCTCACACATAAAACCGTAAGAGAGAAATAAAATATCTGTCTCTTGGCGAAAATAAAGCTTTGCCTCCCTCCTGATGTATAGGATATAAAATAAAGCCTCGGCTCCAATAGTGGGTTTTCCTTATGCCAGAGTTGCCTTTGCACACACGGAGACAATGAAGACGGATGGTTTGGGACGAGGCCCAGCCTCCTGGGGCCGCCTTCACCCTCTTTTATTATAGTCTCTCCCTCCTCCCTGCTTTTTTCTTTCTTCTTCACTTTCTTTCCTTTCTGGGCTGGATTTGCCTTTTATATGCCCTTCTCTTTCTTTCCCCTGGAACTTTGTTTCTCCTGCTCACTTTCTTTCTAAAGCTTGACAGAGACGGTGAGAAAGGAGCTAAGTTTCTCACCTTCCCAAACATGCCTGCCACCTCTCCTCACCTCCCCCTCTCCAATCCCCAGCTCTCTCTGGACCACCAGCCCCTCCGACTCATTTTGCTGCTACTGCTTTGAGATTCGCTTTGGTCAAATGTACAAATGTTCCCAAGGGACAATTAAAAATGTGTTTAGTGGTTGGGAGGGGGAGTGGATTTTTTTCTAGGGAGCTGCCCGTCCTGCCTCCTTCCTCTCTCTGGGCTAGGTGGTTTATAGATCCCAGCATTTCTTTATTTAGCCTCTGAGGAGGCCAACAGAGCAAAGCTGCCACCTCACAGGGGTGACAGTTGACATTCACCTCCCAAACCCAAGCCTCAAAGCTGCATTACCAGACAGACTGTGCGTGTTGTGCCCCTCCCAGCCAACTCAGCTACCAAGGGGACCATCAAGTCCCAGGCCAGTCCTCTGGCCCTTCTCCCCAGTCTGAAAACTGAGGGTGATATGAGGGAACATAGGGGGCCTTCCCCATGCTCACACAGAGAGACCAGAACGGTCACCATCACAGTCACAGAGACATGACCACCTTCCTGCCTCTCACACACTTGGCGCTCCTTCTCACAGTGCATAGAGCCCACCTTTCCCTTCTTTGTCCCTAGAGGCCTCGCTCTTGCCTAGTGGCAGCTGTGCCCCTCTGCGCCTCTGTGTCTCTCAACCCAAGTCTGAGGAGGGTTGTCTCTGGAAGCCTCTCCCCTTCCTTGCCCTGACCTCCCACCACTCTCCTTCCATCAACCCCAGGCTGCTTCTCAGCCCATTCAAAACCCCACCTGCCCTAGGAGACTGCAGGACGCCACCCAGGTCCTTGGAAGAGTTAGTACTGCCTGAAAGAAGGGGGTGCAAGGTCTGGGCCCCCGGGGGAACAACAAGGGAGGGGAGCTTTGGTATTGCAGGGAGGTAAGAAATGTCCCAGGGGCAGGGGTGGCTTTCAGCCTCTGAAACTAATCTCCCCAGGTGGAGAGCGGTAGAAGAGCTTCAGTGTGTGTGACCCTAATCTGAGGAGATCTTTACTAATGCTGCCCAAAACCTGGAAGGGGAAGGAAGGCAGCAACATCTATGGAACTCTGCCCAAAAGTGAAGGTGGGGGCAGGGCTCAGAGCTGCCAAGTCCAGAAAAAAACTCAATCCCAGTCCCAAAGGTCATTAGCTTTGGGGTTCTCTCTCTCTCTGTCTCCCCCTACTTGATATTTCTCCAGATATCGGCAGTGACCACCGCCATTAGGTAAGAGGAGAGAGTCAATTAGTGAGAGGATTAATTACTGTGAGGCACGAGCCCCGTTTGTCTTCCTTACTGGGTGTGAGTGTGTTCAGACAGAGGAACACGGGCACGCACCCAAATACACATTGTTGTCACGCCGTCTTAGACGTTTTATTTATTTGTTGGATTCCTGCCCAGAGCCGCTTTTCCACGGGCGCAGAGTCTCCCACCAAATACGCTGCCTCCTTCGCACTCGCCTGTCCCAAAACCGCACACCCGCTTCGTGCCTGCAGGACCCTCGGCTCCGCACCCATCCCCACGGCCTTCTTCGTGGCTGGGTCTCTTTTCTGTTTCTTTTCCTCCACTCCTCCCCGCATTTCCCCGACAGATCTTTCCTTCCTTTATCCTCGCCTGCTTTTCCGTACTCCGTCTCGTCTTTTCTCTGGGTTTCTGCCTTTATTTTCTTTTCCTGTCCCTCTCTCCTCACTTCTGCCTCTATCTCTCTTTTCTGTTCTTCAGCTCAGCGTCTCCCTCCCGAGATTATCCACGCCATGTCTTTGCTCCGCGGCGCGGGGCTGACTGGCAACTGGGATCTCCACGCTTGACCTCGCTGTTCCACCTGCCCCCTGCACCCGCTCCCCCCCGCCCCTGCTCCATGCCCAGGGTCCCTCCAGCGCTCGTGGGAAGTCCGAGTTGTTTATCCAGGCCAGGCGCACACCGTGACGCCCTGGCCTGCCGGATGCTGCCCTTTCCCAGTCCTGCGGTCCCTGCTCCCCCTTAACCAGCCCAAGTCCCCCTTGCTTAGAAAATATGGCCGGGCGCAAAGTGCACACTGGAGCAAGGTGCCAAGCCCCCCACCCAACTTCTCACCTTAAATAGTGCGCTGACCTAGGGATCTCGGGCAAGCCTCCTAACTTGGGCTCCCTGGCAGGGGAAGTGGAGATAGTACCCTTCTCTTCCACCCCCGACCACCCCCTTGCTATACGGTTCAGGGGAGACCGTGATACAAGCTGTAAAGTACTGCACACGAGTAGATCATTTCCATGAGAGAGTGATGGGTGAGATTAAGGCAATTTGAGTCTGGAGAGAACTAGAGGGGAAGGTAAGGCGGGAGACCTTGGCGCTCAGATCCGAGCGACCTTATCCACGCAGTTCCCTGCGTGGCATTACTGCGGCCTCACCGAGTCTGGGCGGAGTTTGCGTGGCCTCTGGGACCGGCAGAGTCCAGGGGTGCTCTTTCCTCCCTCCTCCGGAACGGGTGTAGCTGGGTGTGTACTCGGCATGAGGTAACCTCCTAGAGCCGGCTCCGCCCCAGATGCCTCCTTTCACGGCCTTATCATTCTTTTCTGCTCCTTGGGCTGTCCTGGAGCAGAAGGGAGAGGAGGGAAATGGCCAGGGGGGTGACTGGGCAGGCTCTGTCCATGGGCCGAGCGAGCGTCATTCTGGAACCTCATGGGGAAGGAAGGGAGATGGAAGTTCGAGAGGGGCACCTTCAGGCTTCCCAAACTGCAAGGCATCTGGGGAGGGCTGACAGAACCCTCTCCAACTGGGGAGATCTGGTGCTGATCGTCAAGGAGCTTCTCAAGAAAAGAAACCTGGACTGTGAAAGTCACCTCCTAGCCCTCTGGGGCCATATCTGGGGGTGACTGGGAGGAGGGTGGAAAGGATTCTGCAGTCACCGAGCTATCAGCGAAAATGATCCCCAGGGATCCTGGTCCAGAATGTACAGGTCCTGGGCGGTGTAAGTGGCTGTGGGTCTGTGGAGGACGTTGGGTAGGAAAGCGCTTGCGTAGTTGAGGATGCAGACAATAAGTGTGGCCTGGAAGGTGAGGAGGGAAGGTTGGTGCTCTTCGCTGAACGGACACTGGCTTAAATGCAGAGCTGAGCTGACAGGCTTCGGAGACGGCGAATTTAGAAAGCCTGGTCAGTTTTCTCTCCATGTCCCTGCGACCGATTATGTTTTAAAACAAAAGCTCAATGGAAACGAAAACAAAACAAAACCCACCATTAGTCTAATGTGCTGTCCCCGTGGAGGAGTTAAATCTGGACTCCAAACCTAGAATCTGGAGCCAAGAGGCGCACTTTGAGTTGCGCTCCCGACCCCCGTTGTAGACGCCAGGGTTGGCTCCTGCGGACCTGTTTACTGAGCCATCTGGACACCAGGAAGAACAGAGCCTGACGCCCTAGAGAGACCGTCCTGTCCTCACCCTCAACTCCCCTGCCTCGCTGGTCCGTCTGTGGAGAGGGGCCTTCTTTCCCCTACACCTAGGTCCCAAGGTTCTGCACCCCAAATGGATGGAGCAACCTTCTCCTGCCCACCAGAGGGATGTGACAGGCTTTGCGTTGGGGAAGGGCCGGCAGCTGGGTCCAGCTGTTGTCTGGTAGGTCCCACTGACCGCCCCACACTCCACCGTGACCCCTCTGCTTTGCATGAGAAGGAGCCCAGCTGGGGCAGGGGCGGAGGCGAGCCACCTGGGACTGGGGCCACTATAGATTCCAGAAAGGGGCGGTTGGGTCGAGAGCGCTGGCGGCGAGAACCGGGACAGATGCGGGGGAGGGGAGGAGGGTGAGGACAGCAGGGCTGGATGGGCCCCCTCCCTGCAGGCCTCACGCAGCGCAGCAGGCTGGGAGGCGCCTGGGAGTCCGGGTGGAGGAAGTGAGGACCCGGTGCCACACGGCTCTTGGCGCTTTCGGGGGTGCCAGAATCCTACCGAGTACCGGTCGGCTTCCGCCGGGAAGTGCCGGGTCCGCAGGAGGAGCGCGAAGCCGAGTCGAGCCCGCGGAGCCCGCCCGCTAGGTCACAGAACCGCCTTCTCCGTCCTCTGCCCCGCCCTGCGTCGGGGCCTGGGAGAGACCGGCGGAGGCCGGCGGCGCGCAGGAGCTGACTAGTTCCCTGCGCTCCTCCCGCCGGCAGCCGGGAGCCCACATGTGTATGTGCAAGAAAGTGTGGAGAATGCGTTAGGGTTCCGGCACCCAGGGGTAAGGGCAGAACGCCAACGAGTCGCACTGCGGGTCTCCGCGGCTTCGGTTTCCATGACATAGTGACGCGAGCGGCAAGGCGGGGGCTGCCTGTGGGCCTCGGGGTTGCTGGGCGGTGCGGGCGGAGTCAGCAAAGGGGCGTTGGCAGAGCCCTAAAACCCCACGGTTCCCCGGAGGGCAAGCCAGATTCGCTGTAGCAGCTTCCCCTTTCGTCCGAAGAGGGTATTCCATCTGTACAGCGGGATTCCCTGCCAGCCCAAGCTCAATGGGACTGCGCTTCCCCGATCATTTCCCCCGTTTCAGCCTCCGCCTGGTCTGCGCATCGCGAGTGGGGTCCAAAGGCCAATTCCACAATACCAGCCAGCTCCAGAGGGACGCCCACCATCATTGTCTTCCATGCTCAGGTCAAATGAGCCTTCCTAGCACTCCTTCCCCCAAAGCACAAAAATGGGGGCAAAAATGGGACCGCCCAGCCCAACCACCTTCAGACTCCACTTCAGGAGAAATCCTGGTTAAGCCCACCCAGAACAGGTGTGGTCGAAACGGAATTTAGGGTTTGACTTGAGTGCTCCGAAAAACTAGAGTAACTCTTCCAGGCGAAGGCACTGTAGACCAGGATCTGTCCGCCACGTCTGGGCAAATGCGCCCCTGGGGGCGGCGGTCCCGAGTTCCTAGCCAGAGAGGGATTAGGGAGTTACGGGTTCCCTGAGGAGTAAACTATGGAGGGTGTGGTTTGCTGTTGTCTGGGGAAGCCGGTGCCAACCCGAAGCCTGGACAGAGGAGGACTGGAATCCGGGCACACGCTGCCCATACACTGCACGCCCATCTACTGCAGCCTCTTCGTGGCGTCCTGGCATCCCGCTCCTCCTTCCCTCTTCCCAACGCCACGACCATCACCCCCAGCCGCCGTTGGAGCCCCCGGTTTCCCGCCTAGTCGTTTGTTTTTGTACGTAAAAGGTGTCTCCGGATCACAGTTTTCTCACAACTTTCTCGCCAGGGTTGCAAGTCCTCACCCGTGGCGCTTCCCGGTCCACTCCTTACCGCGCGCCGGCGCCGCGCCTCCGGTCTCCCCGCCCCCATCAGGAAACCGCCCGAATCAACTTTGCGAGAGTGCTCAGTGGGAGACAGACACTCAGCTGGCCCAGGACCCGGACCCTGTGGACTTTGGATGGATTGGGGGAGGGGGCACAGAAAGAGGGACGGGAGGAGGGAGATTCTGCTGCTAAGCGCCCCCTCCCCCTCCAAAGATGTGCGCTGTGCCTGGAACAAACTTCCAGGTCTAGAAAGTAAGGGGGGACAATGCCAACAGCCGCTGAATTGCAAAGCCCAGCAGTGCAGCGGAGCCGCCTGGGATTCCGGACCCGGCTGCACCCCAACCTTCCACAAGGCTCGGTCTTGGACTACCCCCACTCTGCAGCAGAACTCTGGCCTCCACCTGCGCCTATTCCCGCTCTCTCTCTGTCCCTCCCATCGAAACCCACGCCTTACCGGAGCAGGAGGGGGCCCGGGCACGGTGCTGCCCGCCGTCCGCGCAGCGCGGGGCCGCGGGTGCCGCCGCCACTGATCCTCTAAACGCGGTCTCCCCGCACTCTCCCGGGCCGGGGGATGCAGAATGGTTTACAGAGGGACCGCGAGGCGCTGATTGGTCGCAGGCCGCAATGACGTCGGCGGGCGCTGCATTAAGGCGAGGGGGCTTCCAGAGCTCAGCCAACAGCCAGGAGCAGTGACCGAGCCGCCGGAGCTGGGGAGAGACGCACCAGGGCGGCGACTGGGCCAGGAGACCAGGGACTGAGGGACGCGCCCGGGGAGGGCCAGCAACGAGCCGCGGCCCGGGCGGCGACAGCGGCGGTCCGCACCGAGCCGTTCCAGCCGCCGGCCTACCGTAGCCGCTGCGCCAGGACATTTTTTTTTTTTTTTTTTTAAAGCTCTCCAAGCTGTCCCCCTCCTCCCCGACTCCTCCCGCTGCAAAAGAAAAACCAAAAAAAAAAAAAAAAAAAAAAAAAAAAAAAGGAAGGAGGCTAGAAAGGAAACCCAGATTTGCCACCACAACGAAAAAAAGAAGGGGAAAAGGAAAAGGAGAGAAAGTCGAGCGACTGTGGGGTTAGACGGAGGCAGCCAGAGCGTGTGGGCCGAGCGATGCGGGGCTGTACGCCCAGGCGGCCGCGAGTTGTGACTGGAGCCACGATGCACGGCCAGGCGCGGTGAGAAGCCAGCCCGTAGTGCCTCCCGAAGGAGCCCGGGCGCAGGGAGGGTCGCCCTGAGGACACGGAGGCCGCCAGGCAGGCCAAGGGCCGAGGTGACTGGGCTGGGGCGGTAGGGAAGGAGCGAGTGCGCCTGGCTGCCTCCGCCCGGAGTTGTCCCTCTCTTTTCGATTGACACAAACACTTCTCCAAAAGCGGGGAAACCTAAGCAACAAGAGCAATCAACACCAAGATCTTCCTCCTACCCTCCCCTGTCTCCCTCCCCCCTCGTTCGGCCCTCGCCCCCTCCCCCAGGCCCAGCGCGGGCGCTCGGCGCGTCCGGACCCGCGGCGCGTTGCCGGCAGTTTAGGATCCAAAGCTTCTCTGCTCCTTTTGTTCTTTCCTTTCCTTTTTTTTAAAAAGAGGGGGGAAATCCCAGTGGTGGGCAGCCTGGCACGCACACACTCGCCCTCATACCCCGACAAAAGCAGATGCACTTTGACTTCTGACAGCTCTACCTCAAGCCCGGGAGAACTCAGCGGCGCTTTCCTCGCAACCCGAGCTCGCCGAGTCGTCGTCGTCTTCTTCGTCTCCGTTTTTATTTATTTATTTCCGTTCCCGCCGCCGTTCTCGCTGACCTTCACTCCTCCGCGGGCTCTGGGCAGAAGGGTCGCATTCTCGCCCGCCTGAGACTTCTTTTCCTCGCCCCTGGAGCTGAGGAGGGGCAGCTATAGCCCAGGGCCCCGGGACACCCCGGCTGCACACTTCACTGAAGCGCCCCCAGACCCCGATCAGCCTCGTTTTCTCCACCCTACTTTGATTTCCTGGTGCGGGTTTTGGCTTGCACGGCCGAGTGTGTGTCCTCTTTTTGGAGAGACTGGGGAGTTCGTGCCGGTTGTCTTCAGGAGCCCTGGACTCTACTTTGCCCCGCTCTCTCTGGGCCTCGTCAGACCAAACCAAAGACCATGGTTCACTGTGCCGGCTGCAAAAGGCCCATCCTGGACCGCTTTCTCTTGAACGTGCTGGACAGGGCCTGGCACGTCAAGTGCGTCCAGTGTTGTGAATGTAAATGCAACCTGACCGAGAAGTGCTTCTCCAGGGAAGGCAAACTCTACTGCAAGAACGACTTCTTCCGGTGAGTACTTTCCTCCCACGCCTCTGCTGCTGCCTCCCCGCGGGCCCTTCCCGGCCAGCTTCGGATCAGAGGTTAGCGTGGCCTCGCAGCCCAGTTAGGAACTGCTTCTAGAGAGGGCAGCCAAGTCCCGCGGGCGCCAGCCTCTCCGCCAGCTGGCGCGCTGAGAGCTCGGGACGCGGCCCTGCTTGCATCCTGGAAACTATGGGTCTGGGTTTGGCTGCACGTGCCTGGGAAGAAAGGGTCTGAGCCTGACTCTGCCCAGAAGCCCCTTCAAGCTTGGAAGAGACAGGGCAGCCTCGGGCGTCGTAGTCCGGACTGCTGTCTTTCCCGGAGCCAAGCTCTGCAGCAACTGCATTCTCCAGGCCTTCGGGGTTGTTTGCCTTCCAGGCTGAGCCCAGGCTCCCTCCCAGTCACTACCTTTTCTGACCCCAAGCGGTCTTGGCGGGAAGCTCCGAGCCTTTTGCATAGAGTGTCTGGGCCATCTGCCCTGTCAGCGGCAAGAAAGAACTTGGCCTTAAGGCCGATCCTGCACTCCCGGGGGTCTTCCCCAAACCCGGACAGGCCTCCGAGTGCAGACCTGGCCAAACTGCCTCACTGTAGCCTGCGAAGTGCCCGGAGTTTTTCCCTGCTCTCCTGGCTGCCGAAGTTGTCTGGTGGTTCGGCTTCAGCCCCAGGCGACTCCGACTCCCACGGGCTCCGCTAAGCAGTCCTCGCAGGAAACTGCCAGCCACAGCCAGCAACCTCCTTGCTGAAACCTGGGGGAAAGCCGAGACCCCCAGCTTGCTGGTGGGGAGACTTCTCCCTACTCCCCTTATCCGTTTAGCATTTTAATTATATTATCTTACACTCACAATTTTGCCACTCCATCCACACAAACACACAAGTCAACAGAGAAGAACGGGCGCAAATGCGAATTGTAATTCTACCCTACGGATGTGAAATCTCGCAATTTACTCGGCTGACTTGGTCTCTGGTTTTCTAAGTTTGTGGTCATAGTTCAAACCAGGGAGCAGGGAGGAAGAGGGATTCAAAGCCACTCAGAGGGCCAAGACGCGCTGTCCCCAATGCCGCTCCAGGCTGCGGTTGGGTTTCGTGGAATCATGAAGCAAAGCTCCGTGTTCGCTGGTATTTCGGGAGAACGCGCGGGCTGAGCCTCTGACCCTCCGCGGGCTGCTCGGTTTTCCTCTGCAATGACTGGATCATAGCGGGAGGGTGGCAAACCGTACTCGTACCCGCTGCCAGTGGGTCCCTGAGGCCTGGCCTCCACAACCCGCGGCAGGTAGCCCAGAGTCAGCTCCCGCGGCTCCCGCTTTTGCCATCCTGCCCCGCTTCAGGCAAGAGCGTGGCGGCGGCCCCGCTGTGGCTACGGGGGTCTGTCCGCGGCTATGTTTGTTTACCAACAGCGGAACTAGACCTCGCCAACCCCACGCCTGTGTGCGGATCCTTTTGCGGTGAAGGAGAGAAAAGCAGCGCTCCGCGCACGTTTATATAAAGCTCTAACTATAATTCGACTTTTCTGAATCTAATAGGAAAATAAGTGTCCCCTGTTCCCCCCCACCCCCCCACAGGCCACTGCCTTGCCACCTTCTTTAGACGATGCATCTTTCCTCTGGGATAACGCTGGGAGTGAGGCTGGGGCTTGGGGGCAGCTTGGGCCCCTGGCTCTAACCGCGTGTATCTCTTCCCTGACTCTTCCCTGGTGCCGTGCTGTCTCTCCTGCTGCCTCCTCACCTGCTTAACCGGAATTCTGCCTCTCTTTATCTCTCTCTTCCCTTATTTCTCCGCTCCATTTCTCCTCTCCTACTTCCTCCAATTTTTACATCTTCCCCCTCTCTCGCTGTCATCTTTCTCCCCGCCTGTCTCCCCGCTGCCCCTGGCTGACCCATCCCCGCCCCCGCCCCACCCCCGCAGGTGTTTCGGTACCAAATGCGCAGGCTGCGCGCAGGGCATCTCCCCTAGCGACCTGGTGCGGAGAGCGCGGAGCAAAGTGTTTCACCTGAACTGCTTCACCTGCATGATGTGTAATAAGCAGCTCTCCACTGGCGAGGAGCTCTACATCATCGACGAGAATAAGTTCGTCTGCAAAGAGGATTACCTAAGTAACAGCAGTGTTGCCAAAGAGAACAGCCTTCACTCGGGTGAGGCCCCAATTCCCGGCTGGCTAGGTGCAAGCGGGTCCTGGGGGAGCAAGGCCCCGGCTCATCTGTCCCTTCCCTCTTCTCAGCCACCACGGGCAGTGACCCCAGTTTGTCTCCGGATTCCCAAGACCCGTCGCAGGACGACGCCAAGGACTCGGAGAGCGCCAACGTGTCAGACAAGGAAGGGGGTAGCAACGAAAATGACGACCAGAACCTGGGCGCCAAGCGACGGGGACCGCGCACCACCATCAAAGCCAAGCAGCTGGAGACGCTGAAGGCCGCCTTCGCTGCTACACCCAAGCCCACCCGCCACATCCGCGAGCAGCTGGCTCAGGAGACCGGCCTCAACATGCGCGTCATTCAGGTCAGGCCCCGGCGCGCCTCTCCATCCCACAGAGGCCCATATTGCCACTTTGGGCACCCAGGTCGAGCCCGGGAGACCCCAGAATCCAGAGAGAAGTGAGAGATGGAGTCTGGAGGTGGGGTGCCTAGACACATCCCGAGCCTGCGGGACCTATGAAATGCCTTAGAGCATCTAGAAAGCCCTCTTCCCAGCCCGACAGAGGTGATCCTGGCAGTGGAGGGGGAGGGGCGGGAGCTCAGCCAGAGGCTGGAGGAGGGGAACTGTTGAACACTCTGGAGAGAGTGGGGAGCCCTCTTTCTGCACATACCCCACCCCCACCTCGGGCTCTCAGAGAAGTCTCAGTGTCCCCCCGAGTCAATCAGTGCCTCCACCTTCTGCACAAAGTCAACTCCTTCTAAGTCTGCAACTCCAACTTTGTGATGGTTGCTCCAATTAGACAAGCCCCAGATCAGGGACTTCCCCTCCAAAGAGAGGTGCTTCGGCCAGGAGTCAGCTTTGCTTCCAGCCAGTTGGAGTGAAATGGGGATGGGAGGCCACCTGGAGGCAGCTGGGCCTGTGGGCGGAAAGGAGGTGAGACTGCTGAAGCTCCAGGCCAGGGGAATCTCTGGCTCAGTGCTACGTGTCCGGTTAACCGGGCCTGGATGCCCTGCGTGGGTGTGGGTGGATGTACCTGCCTGGGAGCCTGGCCCTGCATGTGCACATGTGTGCAACACGGAAGGCCCTGAGGCCTGCAGGAGACTGTGAGAACCTGTGTGCATGAATGAGAAGTTGTGTGTCTGTGTCACCATTGGCAAGAGGCTGTGGATAAGTATGTTTGGCACTGTGAGATTGTGCATGGGTGTGAAAAGGAGATTGTGGGTTTTGGTATTACAGGCTGTTTCTGTGTCTCTGTCATGGCTGGAGGAGGGTTGCTGCAAGAGACCGTGAAATGGAAGCCCGGTGTGTGTCTGACATTATTTTGGAGAGGCATAGTCTCTATGTGTGTACAGCCCCAGAGAAGCTGTAACTGTGATAGTGTGACTGTTAGAAAAACCCCAGCTATACCACAACTGCCTCCCTCCAGACAGGGCGGCCTGTCCAGGTCCTTCTGTGGGATTCCTGCTCACCATCGATTGGCTCA